AGGAACAAGGACGCTACTAGGGGCTCCTGGCCTTACTACTAGGAACAAGAAGCTACTAGGACCTTTGCTAGGAGTTGTTTTTCGACCAACGCCACGCGAAGTGTCTGGGAACTGGTCGACCGATCGGGCCAGGAGTGGTTCGAAGGGGTCAATGGGTTGGCATATAGATATTCCAGTCCCAGACACTCCGAGTGTCTGCGGTTGTGTATATAAAGGCTTCAACATTATGACCTCTGACCTCTTCGATGGCTTTTTCCGCTTACTTCACTGGGTGACTTCTCCTCCTCCTCCTCCTCCTCGTCGTCGACTCCTTCGTGTCTCCTTTGTAACGTTTTTGGTGACCCACCGGACCGTTGTTTGGTCCCTTTGACTCTGTCAGTGACCGTCCAGGACCGTTGGGTTCCATCGGAGGTTTTGAACTCCCTTGCGTGTCTTCGTTGTTGGTGGTTTTGTTTGGAGTTGATGAATCAAATGAATCAGATTCTGAAATGAAACCCTTCAGGGTGGTCACACACGCTCGCAAAACAAGACACAACAGTGAAAAAAGCTTGAGTTCACTCCCTGTGTCTCCAGCTGCAGAGCTTGCTAGCTGTAGATGTTCGAGACATTTCACTACTTCACTCTCCTGAGATACTCTTAGCATAAGACTGATATGAGGGGAAAGGAGAAAAACTTAGCATCAAGGCTACACATTCATTCTGAGTCTGCATGAACCGTCTGAGAGTTTAATGCACTGTTCCTGAAAATCTCATCACGGAGCATCCAGGATCCTGGCCGTCCAGGCTGGACTACCCAGCGTACTACTTAGGGATCTTCATTGGCACCGAGCCTGGAAGGTCCATAGAGTTCGGATGCGAAAACTGGAGGAGGAGACAACCTTAAAACTGCCCCAAGTTGGAACTCATCGCCCTCAACTTGGTCAAGTGTTAGCCTCATTTGAAAGGGCGATTACTTAGGAGGTCTTGTGCTTTGGCTATGAGTAGGTTTGGGCACGTGTGGCGGAACTCTTGCAGCCACAGGGGCGCTTGATATCGCCTTCTTTCGCTTCTTGCTGGGCGACCTGCGGTGTGGTCGCCAAACCGATTCGGATGTCTACCGTTGAAAAAGAACAACCGGGCGGAGTCCAATCTGTCGACTAATTCATGGAGACTCACGCAGTACGTAGCAGCCAAACACAAGTGCACCCGAACAAATCCGAACAGAACCTGGTGGCCAACGGACCATTTCCGTCACAACTTTGGGCATCCGAGTTGGCTTCTCGATGTTTCTCATGCTGACTCAAAATAGCTCAGGGCAATGCCTTATCCAAACACCCAAGCTACAACAATGTCGACTGGTCGGCTGAAATGCACAAGTCCTGTGCAATGAATGCACTTTGATGTGCCAGTTAGAACTGCAAAAATGGACAACAAGTTGAAAACATGACGACACACTGTCAAGCATGACTGAATATACTGTCACGGTAGTTCTTTGCACTCTAAACCTCACCAAATGAAGAACTTCAGGAGTTGTCATACAGCGATAAGCCCTTCGCCACCGTTTCGACCATTGTTCAATTGACTCTAACACGTTTGCTGCCTAGAAGACAGACACTACCCATCGCCCACGTTGAGTTCGGATACTCTTTAAATAACTGAAACCGTTCTAATTATATAGAAGGGAAATGTGTGCCCTTCCAAGTCAAATGCTGCTACACTATACATTTGTATATAAGGTGATATAATGTGATATACTTTGCTGTTGAGGAAAGGGATAGGTGGCGGGGAATTTAGAGTCTAGAGAATGTCTATAGACAATTATATTATATACCAGAAATCCGTTCATTGTTCAATCAAAAACTAAGATAAGATCGATTAGTAGCCACACGACCTTGTCAGATTGGACCACGTTGAACCCCAAAACCACCAAAAAGAGAACACCGCTGGCACATCCCCTCTCCCCACCTCAGCAATTTGTCTCACCGAGTAGCTCATCCACCACCGCACAGCCGGAATCGGAGGAGCAAAGTTCCGGCTCTTCCAGATCCGTCACAGCTCTTCCCGCGCCATCGGTCGCCATGGCATGACCGAGACTCGTCGAGAAGAGGATGGTGGGCTCGGTCCCAGGTGAAGAGGTGTGAGACGTCCAGCTTGTTTCAGGTGTGGTCCCAGCATCAGGTTTGTACAGATTCTGGACACAAACTCTGCTTGAAAGTAACGTTGCCAAAAAAGATTACCACAAAAGACCAGCTATAGTAGAACCTCATTTTGAGGTGGCTTCAGTTGTACCTCCCCCCTTCTATCTCGGGCAAGACCTTGTCCACCTCAGTCTCTCAAACCTATTTGAAGAGCGCAGGATGTGTTCAACAAAACCTGGCATCTTGAGAAAGTTCAGGCACATCTTGCTCACTTGTTGAGGATGCTTTGTTCCTTCCAATCATACACCCCCCCCTGGCATTTCAGGTATTTTGGTGAGTAGCTGCATGTCCATAATCTACCCAAGCATGTGTTATAGTGTAGCATATTATTTGCTTACAGTCAATGAAGGCATGTTGTTTTGATTCCAGCTCCACGGAGTGTCCCAAGTCTCTGACTCTTCCGCGCTTCATTCTTTCCCATTTGGTGTCTAAACGTCCAACCTGTTGCTCAATGGGTCATTGGGAGTCGTACCAGGCATCATTCAGCATGGCAAACCCGTTCAGGATTCAGAAAAATGTCTGCTCTTCGTTGTGCAAAACCAGGTTGTTGGAGCATCCGTTCTTGATGGAGCTTGGGCTTTACATCGATCACCTCCGTGCTGACGAACCCGTCATAGGACTTGAGTCAAATGCTCTAGCGAGTGTGAGCTACAAAGGAGGTTCAAGAAGCAAAAAAATCACCGGTTCACTCGCAAAAACCAAGCAAGAAGTGGATGGTATGGTTTCTTCAAAGACTACTTTCCTTTAGGAACAGGAGGAGTGGCCTATATAACGTCCATGCTCTCTTTTTGAGCATGGCTCCAGTCAGCAACTCCAGGAACAACCGAAAATCCAGTCATCTGCCTCGTCTGTCGCCAGCTCCCCATCGCCAGCATCCTGTTCAAACTGGTTGGTGATCGATCCATGACCTTTCTACCGTAGGACAACCAGGTGGAGAGCACTGAGCAGAGTCTATAGAGATAGTACTGCCGGATAGAAACTATTGGATCCGAGTATTGAACAATACTACTAGTGAACTAGTAACTAGAGTACTTCCCGAGGAATTTACCCTCTTTGATGTAGACAGACTGTAGACTCTTAATTCATAACCCCCTGCATGAATCCATCTCGGGGGGGGTTATTCATCAAAAGTCTACATAACCCTACAGGTCCAAAGACCCAGCAAAGCCTGCTCCTTTACCTCATGGAGTAGCATTTTTGTACGACCTCCAGTAAAATGAGGTCAAACTGACCCGTAGGGTAAGTTTACCTCTTGACACCTTTTTGTAATGCTTCACTCTCCGCGCCGCGGGAGCACGAGCCATGAGCCCGCAAAGCCCCCGGTCCTGGCGCAACTCTCGGGCCAGCGCACCCACCGAAGCGCTGCCTCCCACATCCTGCGGTGAGGGGCACGTTCGGCCTGGTGGGAGCAGGTTCTGCGGATACAGAAGTCATGAACAGAAGCAGCACTGCCTCAGGAGATCTGAGCAGCAGGTTCAACATGGTGCAACATGGTGCAAGAAGCAAAAAAGAAGGGCAAGTATGGAACGACCAAATGCTCCAAGTGCCGCCCCCAGAAGCTCAAGGTGATGCAGTCCCAGAGTTCCCCAGAACCTGAAGGACCATCCCAGTCACTCCATGCAACTCCATGTGACCCCAGGGACCACGGGTGATCTGAGATCGGGTCTTCCTTTTGCCGGTTTGATTCTGTGGATCAGTGGATGTTCTTTACAAGAGAAGAGAACCCGGAAATCAAACTGGAGAAACACCACTGCGTTACAAGTGTGACCTGAAGATGATGGAAAACTGCCTTGGACCACAGGGTAAATGTGTGTTGGAATGTCCCCCGTCTTTTCTGGGGCATCCCGGCTGAGAGGAGGAGTTCCACGTGTCGGGCCAACCTCAGCAGGAAAATCGGTGATTTGGGACGCCTCTTTTTCTGGGCAGCTTCTGGCTCTGAGTGGCTGGGTGGAAGTAGACCCTCAAACTTTGGAATGCAGTCAGAATGTGGAAGCCAAATGGAACCAATGCGTGTACCTCCCATACACTGCCATACACTCCATATCTGGAATATGCCTACATTGACCCCTGAAACCGCCCCAATGTATGCATTTTTATATATAACATGTTGGTAAACATACAAATCCCATGGAGTGTCTGGGAATCAGATTCCTTCGATTCCTTTCATCTCTTTGCGCTTTTTAGGGCTCCTTCTTCATCTTAACAGCTCGAAAAGAAACCGAGTGCCCATTCCATCGCCCAAACGACCTCAAGGTACTGGGTCCAGGTCTCATTGGGTGACCCCTCCGATACTCAGACCGGTCAACGACGCCGAAACGCCTACGACGCCTACAAAGAGACGGGTCTTTGGAGCCCGAAACAGACCTAATGACCTGGATCTGCCGAGGAATGCTTTGCGTGCCGAAAGGAGTGGGCAAAGCATGGTCCAGATGAAAGAAACAGAAAGTGGGCAGTTAAATGTGACAAGAACATCCATCAACGAAGCATCATCCAGATGCTCCATGTGAATAGAAATCACACGGAATAGAATAGAAAGTGTGGTTTTGAAGCATCCCACGACTCGTCCGACGAGTCCAAGCCAAGTCCAATGGGTCGGTCCCGGCGAACGAATGCGTCCTGCGCGAGGGCGAACGATGGGCGATGGAACCTCCAGTGGGCGACGTTTGATTCGTCCAACAAGATCAACAAGTTACAGGATGTTACAGGTTTACAGGTGTATAGCCCCTAGGATTCCAACCATCGATTTCATAGCCTGAATCCCAAAGAACCATGAACCAGGTCAGCGCATTCTTTTAATGGTCTTGGAAGGCTAGGGGTTGTAGTGTATAGGCTTCAAAAGATTTTGGCCAAAACGCTGAAAACAAGGTCCTGTCTAAACAGTTTGGGAGGGAGCCACGAGGAGGCGGGCCTCTGTGATCCTTGCCTTTCACCGCTTGTTTGGCCCCAGAATGCATGCAGCTCTGAGACCCCGGCTCCAACTCCAAGTGCGGTGGGAACGGGTGCTGTCCTTCTAAGATGACCTGAGATCGAATCAGCCAAACATGCATAGCGAAGATCGATCCAGCGTTACGTTCTCTGGTGACAAACACTGGCCTTGAGATCTGAAACTGCCATGGTGCTCGTCTTCCAGGGAAAAGGATTACAAGTCAGTTTCCCCAAGATTCTAGGACCCGATTCATTAAGCTCGCTTCTTCAAGGAAGCCCCCCCCCGCCCTCACTTGAAGAAGCGTGAGCTATCCTGTGTCCAGTTAAGGAGGCAGGGCCACTGAGGATACTTTCCACAAACATATCTATCCTACAACTTCTCGGGAGCAATTTCTTCGCTGGTGTGGACAGAACCCGTGGAGACCGCATGGGTCAAGATTCGTGAGTCCAGTGTCTAGGTGGTTCAAAGACTTGAACATGGTCTCCACGGGTAGTTCCCGTGTTTGGGGTGATCGCCTTCGTCAGATGTCTTAAGCCTTTTGCCTTCCAAGAAAGGTCGACCTGGTTTTGTAGTTTAAAATCCTCGGTAAAGCAGTTCGGTTGTTCGGTCATTGAATCGATTACTGTAAACCCATAGGGTTAAGCAAAGCCCGTCCTGCGCATTGCGAGAGAGTGGGCCACCGGACCCTGTGAATGGTGAACCAGAAGTTCACACTGATACTCCAAGTGTCGCCTGAGCCACAAAGAGCATTAGACTTTAGACAAACTTACAAAAGGTGGATGAAAAAACAAAGCCATGTGGATTTCAAGTAGTTTAGTTATAATTCAAGTTATTCCACGAAACATCACAAAACCAAACAAGCATCGCATGCACGTGGAAGAAGGCTGTTTGACACGCTAGTTCGCCCAGAATCCTCCCTGGAATCAGAAAAGACCAGTTTCAAAAGTAGGATGCAGGCCAAAGGTTTTGGTTGATGTGGCCTTTACAAACCAGACTTCTTTTCTAGTTGCTCCTAAACACACATCCCCTTGTCAGATCTCAGAATCCAGTAGGATCCAGTAGGGAAGTCGCTACTGCTAATACGGGATCTTTTCAGCCAGAAAAATGCCAAGTCCCCGGCCGGGCCCGGCAAGGCCCTGCACGTGATGCCACCAGTGCCTACAGCGCTCAAACAAACACACCCCAGAGTTCCTTCTGTGGTACCCCAGAGTGTGAGCAGACAGTACATCTTCACTTGCTCTACAACCCGAAAAAGTCTACTGTATATAAGTCAAGGTGAATGTATCATTGTTATTGTTTATACTAATTGTTGTTAATGTGCATCAAGTCGTTGTTCTTGGATGATATATGGTGAGTGTGTCTTGTCTCTTTTGAGCAAAAGATTGTTTTTTGAGATCGCACAGCCACCCAGTGACTGCTTATCACATCCATGAATTTTGACCCTATATGACCCTATAGGGATCTATAGTATACTCCTCCAATCCTCCTCGAACTTGTGAATCTTTCTGGGTGTCCAGATCGGCCGGGAAAAAACTATCTACTCCAGCCGAGGAGATGCCTCTGCAGAGCTGAAATCCATTCATTCCCAGCATGCCCAGGAAGTCCAGGTGAGTGTTGGACTCTCTGCCTTCTCCTCCTCTTCGATTATATTGAATAGATCAGTTTCTATCGCTCTCGGAACAATCTTCTCTAGTTTTCCGGCCAACCCACAAATAACAAGACACACCACTCCTCCCCCTTTTTACACTATGCTGCAACTGAGATGGAGCACGTTGGGATGAAGAGCGCCTCCCCGGCTTCGAGGCACGTCACCTCGGAGGGTCCCCGTGTTCTCCCGGGCGTTCCGGTGGGGTCGGGAGGTGGCGAAGGAGCTGCCCCAGACCCTAAAGTAAATGTCCAGTCCCATGGAATGGATGGCATGATGGTCTGGATGCGGTATGCTTCGGTATGCTTCAT